CTGTGAAGTCCGAATTTGATTGCGAATAAACTTGATGTTAATAATCTAGAAAGAGGTTTCGTGGAGCACTTGGAGGACCCAGTAATATAACTTGTTTGTAAGGACACTTATGTAATTTAGGTATCCAATACAGTGAAGGAAGATCCAGTTCATTTTTGGTTGAAATTCTAAAGGAACATAGAACAGACCTATGAGTTTCCAAGATTTCCTCCTTGGTAAGTGTCGTGTGGGTATATGTTGAGTTTCCAAGTGATTTGGTAATACCCAATTCATTTATCAAGCAGTTTATGTAATGTGATTTACTCACAAAAACGATGTAGTTTTTTGGGCTTTATCTGTGGGGGACAAAACCATATTTGTCATAGAGGTAGGACAGGAATTTTACATTTGGGTCGTTCAAGAATTGATGTAGCATAGATATTATTCATTTTTTTAAATTCTGATTTGTATCAACGACCTCACAGCTTTAATCCATTCGGAAAGGATATCTACGTCTTCTTTCTCACGTTTAACCCATTGCCTGGCATAATCCTCGACTGAATCCGTCGAAATTTTGAAGTTGTGTTTCCAATTGACAGATTTAGGCTTACAATATTTCGGGCTTTTGGATAAAAATTTCGCAGAGAAGTGTTATTGACAATCTTTAGGTCACAAGTAATAACGAGGCCAGCCGGATTATATATTAATGAGGAACTAATCAGGTACAATCAGGAGGTTTAGACTTGAAGTCGTCAATATTGAGATCCGGAAACACGTGTTTGTAATTGAAAGTTTTAGTTGCAATGTTTAGTATAGGTATAAGAAATGATAGGTACAGACTGATCTTTAAAATAGGGACTACTGATTTATAATGAAGGATATTGCCCAAGATGATGGCATTGAGACCTTTGTTGGCAAGGAAAAGTTTTGGAAAGGATCTTTTCTTCTCTCTCTTTCCCAAAACGAACTGGTTTGACAAGTCTGTGACTTGCAATATTCGAGATAATAGCTGTAAGTTTGTATTGGATTGAATGGGTGTTTGTAACACATGGTGTAGCAGTGGTTTCCAAACATAAGTTGTACAGAGAATTAAGTTTTGAAAGGTGTAATGAATAAAGCTTCGTGCGAATGTGATGAATACCTAACGGTTTTGGTATAAATGGCAGCATGTCATTAATAGACATCATGGAGAGTAGGTGATGTATAATGACGATGACCATGAGCGTCTACGTCGAGTTGTAGAGTTGAAAATGTTTATCACATTCACCGAGCTACATGAAGGACTAGATAGTTAACCTATACCATCAATTTCGTCATTGCGACCATATGGTGTCGCAGTTCCCGATTGTCGAATCCAGTAGTCTTCTTTTTGTCTACGGAAAGGTGTTTCAAGATGAAGATTGTTAATTCTGTGGTATAATTTTTCGATGATGCAAACTTGCATAGAAAGGATTGGATGATCAGGCTGATTAAAATGCTGGTAAACAATGTCGCTTGCATTGTTGTTGATGTCTGATCTATGGTCGAACATACGTTTATTAAGCCTTCTTTTCGATTCACCGATATATACACACCAATCCGCAAAGGTAACACTTATCTGTAGACGAGATTTGTTGATTTACAATTCAGATCATCGTAGCTTCTGGTATAATAAGATTGTTTTAGCTAAATTGCCAGTGAATTGAGAGTGTTAATAAAAATTTACAGGTTTTGCAGTTATTGGTTTAACATTTCGAAATGAGGCAGTTTTTCGGAGTCATTAAAATCCAAAATGTCTTGTAGAAGAACTGAACACGGCCGCGTACGAAGATTATTGCTGTTGTCATTAGTATGATGATCTGAATATGTCGTTTTCGAGACATTTAAAAAAAAGAAAAAGAAAACAAACAGCTGCGCCATGAGCGCAGGATACGCCCGTCGCATTTTTTACGAAAAAAGTTCAATAACTTCTCAATGTCATATCAGAAATTTGTGAAAATCTAAACGGAGGTTATCTTAATTCATATAAACCAGTCACCAAAGTTTAATGAAAACTGCTCAACGCACTTTAAAGGTATTGTTCGAAAACTAGAAAATCACCCCTTTTTTATGAATAAAATCCCATAACTCTAAAGTGTAAAATACAAAATTTATAAAAATTGAAAAGGAGCTTACATCAGTAGATATAAACAATTCTCCAAAGTTTCATGAGAACTGCTGAAAGCATTTTTGAGTTATTGTCCGAAAACTGGAAAATCCCCCTTTTTTAATGAATAAAACTCCATAACTCGGAAACATAAAATCTAAAATTTATAAAAATCAAAAGGGAGCTCATGTCAATAGATATAAACAGTTGACCAAAGTTTCTTGCAAATTGGTGAAAGCATTTTTGAGGTATTGTCCGAAAACTGGAAAATCCCCCCTTTTTAATGAATAAAACTCCATGACTCAGAAACGTAAAATCTAAAATTTTATAAAAAACGAAAGGGAGCTCACATCAATAGATATGAACAATTCACCTAAGTTTTATGCAAATTGGTTGAAGCGTTTTTGAGTTGATGTCCGACATGTTGACGACGGACGGACGGACAGACGGACAACGGTATACCATAATACGTCCCGTAAACGGGCGTATAAAAACAAATTTGAGATATTTGTCATGTCTGGTGATGAGGGGACACGTCGTATCAGACGACACGGTGTCCATGGTGACGTCTGTTTCGGATATTTTTATACTGGGCGACGTTAAACAAGTTAAATAAAAGACAATACGCTGAAATAATAAACATATTTTATTGAAAATGTTTGAAACCAATAAAACTGTTTCAAGCGGAAGTGTGCTCGTTCAAAATCTTCTTGCATATATTATTCTGACGTTCTGTCGTAAACTCTTCATACTTACTCTTAACCTGTGCAGCTTCTTTAACCAGCCTGACCAATGAGGTCTATACAAAACTGAAATGCTCCGCGGAACGCAGCTTGATACGACCACAGAGGTCGAACCCTTAACAGTTGGAGCAAGTATGGAGACTACATTCAAGCTTTATACAGCTCTGATTTTAGATTCATACACTTGTACACAAGTTATTGTCCTGAAACAAGAAAAATGCTTGTTTTGGTCCCTTATTCATAAACAGGACAATAATCCCCAAAATCAATCCCAACCTTCCTTTTGTTGTATGGAACCTTGTGGTATATTTCATAGAGATCCATACACTTATTCTCAAGTTATTGTCTGGAAACCAAATGTCTTCGGACGACGACGACGCTGACAACATCCTAACATTATACGACCTCAAAAATTTGGCGGTCGTATAAAAAGACAGTAAAGTAATAGTATTTCGAAGTGTTTAAAACATTAGACTCTAAAGAGCTTGTGTCGCTGCGCTGCTGAATCCTCGTGCATCTTTAACAATGGCCAACAGAATCGTTTGAGGTATTTAAAATAGGCATTCCAGACATTCCTGCCAAGTTGGGTCATATCAATAGTAACTTATAAGACATTATTTTGTGAGCTACTGAATTGGAATGGAAATTGGAATGGAATTATATCATAATCATTCCTATGAAATTTGCTTTTGTATTGCAGAAATTTGGAAATAGACCAATCAAAATTTGGAACAGCCTAATGAGTAATCGAAACACAATTGATTTCCCTATGATTCCCGTCAGCCTTGGTGAACCATGACAATGTTGTTTCAGAGACGAAAGGGAGATGTGAATGCAACCTAACCACGACGGTATACAGAATCTTTATTATATTTTTTAAACCATGACCAGAATTTGCCTCGAAACTTATCCGCCGAAATCACTGAATTACTCTGGGAACCATGTTTTTTGTCCCATTTGTAAAATGTGAGATTTTTTTGGCACGGGCTTACATACATTCCTGCAAAATCTTGATTCAAATTGGCCTTGAAGTTGCAGATTTGTCGAAAATTATAAAGTTTACAGACTACAGTACCCAAGCGATTAATATTAACACACACACACACACATCTCAAAAGTAAAAAAAAAAAAAAAAAACCCAAAAAGAAGAAATTTTACTACTTTGACCCATTCAATTTTCTTATTCCAACTTAATTGTTTTCACATGTGCACTTCGGCTTTTTTTGTTCGTTTTCTATCGGCACTATATTTCAGTGAATACTTTGCAAATGGGTGACAGCTTCTCATCTTCTTAAATTTTCTTAACCTGAAATCCTAGCGGAATGATCGACAGCAAGGTAGATTGGATAGATCCTAGTTTAAAATATTAAGACCATCAACCACCTATATTTCTCATTATAGTTATTAACTTAAACATTTCCAGAAAAATTCTAGTAAAATATTGGAAATTCTTATTATTTCTCGTGCATTAAGAAGACAGTTTAACGCTAATTTCACATGAAAAATTCAGTTTTCGGGCCAAAAGCTAAATTCTCCAATTGCAAGTAACTAGCTTACAAAAAAATCATAAATATTGAGACATCTTCAAGTTTTCCATAATTTTAATGTTTTATAATTTTAATGTTTTATATGCGTTATCTCTAGAAAAATAGCATAAAAGAAAGTGTGTCTTTTTTTATTGAGCGGCGAACATCCTTAAGACGGTGTAATTTGTTGTAAGTAATGATTGTATTAGTTATCTTGGTGTGCGCCTCAGGGTGTATGAATTTTCCACACCGGTGTAAAATTCTGTACACCCCTGATTACACCAAGATAACGAATTTATTTCTTATGAACAATTCCTCATTTTTTAAACCGGGATGTAAAATTGAAAAATGCTACTGAAAAATTTCCAGTGTAACATTTTTTCAATGTCGATGTTGCTGCGCATTGTCAAATACTTTTTTTCTTTATTTTGGGGAAATTTGAAAAAAAATTTGTGTTCTTTTTAGTTTTTGGGGAAAAAAATTTATTTTTATTTTTTTATTTTTTTTGCATTTTAATTTTTGTTTATGGTTTTGGCAAAATTTTATTTTTTGGAATTTTTGGCAAAATTTTATTTATCCTGGGGTGAACAAGGGTGAGGTGTTATTTACACCGTGGAAATTAACCAATCAGATTGCAGGATTTTTGCTGCATAAGAAATAATATTCTTTACCTGTTGGAATAGATTTGACTCCATTGTACCTAAGCAACATTAAAATTTAGACGTCGTGTGTGTGATCCTAGAATTGTATAAAACCTAAAAACAATGAGCTGGGTAAAATCTTATATCATATTGATATGTTATACATAAAATATTATATTGGAAAAGAGGAAAAATAATCCTAAGAACTATTTTGTAAGTAAAGTAGTGTAGTGCATGTTAAAAAGTAAGGTCTTCACATTTATGAGATTCCTTGTGGTTTTCTGTCTCATGAGCCCATGATTGCCACTACTCGAATTGCCACTGGTTGTAGTTTGAACTCTGCATGATCATTAAATAGGTCAGAATTTGGTTACCATATATTTCAACACCAAAATATGGAAATTATATAAATTAATAAGTCCGGTAGATGTCTATAATTCAATGGTATTCTTTTTTAAATTTTCTTATAATTTTTCCAAATTTTTCATTTAAGAAAAAACTACCTTAACAATAATCAAGTACCAACTTTTCACTCATTAAAGTGAACGTTAACCTAATAGAACTGAAGCATTGCTCGCAGCATATTAATCTCAAAATTGTGGTGCAACTAGGGTAATACCACGTACATGTATATGCACAGGAGTGTCCGACTTTTAACTTTCTTTTTGACAATGATCCTCACAAAAGTTTTTTGTCCCTGTACACGACAAACCTTTAAGCGGAGATTTTCCCCAGGACTCACAAGGGGTTTTGAAGCAGACATTTTTTCATGAGTACAGGGATGGCTAATATGTAAGTTGAACTGTACAGTTATCGTGACTACTTTGAAAGTTTAAAGATTAAGTTAAAGACTAATTTATTTGGGACAGACGGACGTACGAACAAGCCGATTATAAGTCATTCTGCCCATTAATCGACAGAGTCCTTATAACTATAATATAGTTTTCAATGCTGGAGGCATAAAAATAACCTCAAAAATATAACTTTCTTTAATTTTTCTAAAATTAAATTTAAAAAAAAAATTAATGTAAACTGTAAATACATCTCTGAAAAACTAAAAAACTATGCATGCTTTCATTAATACGTTAATCATATTTTGATTTCATTGTTGTTCATGTATATTTTGCCAATCCTATAACTGCAGAGTATTTTATCAATGCTCACAGGATTTTTCTTTCTATTTTTACAGAACTTATTCTCAATTGTTTGGAAACATATCAAAACTGTTCAGTACTCTGAGTAAATTGTGAAATATTGCTAAACTTCTTAAAAAACAATAAATATATGGAGATCTACACCAAAAGCTCGTTAAAGGTGATTTTAATACCAAAAGCTCGTTAAAGGTGATTTTAATATCAAAGTATGTACTGGGAATGAACATTCTGTTGCTCTCTAATATTTTTTTTAAATTTAAGACACCTGTAAATGTAAGCTATAATGGAATAGATATATCCATAGATATATCATATTATAAATGTTCCTAACTGTTTAAGCAGAGTCCTATCTAGAACCAGACACTATGTGTTTCACAGCAACAACAATAAATTGAAACAAACCAGCTGATTAAGAATTTTTAAATGTACTGAATTAAATCTCATTTTAACTGAACTATCATCTTATATTTCGGACAAATTTGACTTGAAGTATAAAACAATGAAAAAAAAGAATTTCATCATCAAAATTGCTATGTGATGGGACTTTTCATACTCAGTTTGTTCTGTTGTCAAATCTTAGTGAATCTTGCTCATAAATCAACAAAACATGTTAAAAATTCATCCTTGATTTATCTGCATCAGTAGTTATTTGTAAACAGACATATATTCTTGAAAAACAAACATAAAATTCAGAAATTATCACTATATTTAATTAAAGCCTTTGCAACATTATAATACAAAGCAAAGAAACACTAATACCATGTAATGTTTAAGATCTGATTTAATATTCCAACAACACTTTATATAGTTCTTGAATCCTGAAAACAAATGAAGTACATGGGAATGATGTCTATTTCAACAAGAGCACTAGTCTACTCGAAGGAAAATAAAGCAGGTTTGTAAGTTAAATGGCGAGTAGGATTTATATGTACAAGTTCTGATGAACTATGTATAACTGTAACAAATAAGATGTTCATGAGCATGTTAATATAATGCACACTGTTAAAATTAATTACAACTGTATATACTACAAAGTATTTACTTATGAGCATGTGATTTTTAAAAGAACTCAATATGTAAACATGGCAATATGACATGCTAAGCTATTAACAACATTAAAATAACACTGTAATTGTCAAGCTAAAATCCTGAAATGAACAAATCTGAAAAAAAAATGCTGAAAACAATAATCAGGCAATATACCATATGGTGATACTTTTATGTGATGATTACACTTTCAAAAGAATGCAATGAAACCATAATGTTAGATAACATGCCTATATATAACTGTTGTTTTAATATGATTGTTCATTTTATATATATATATATATATATATATATATAAGATAAAGTTTATGATATAAATATTTGCACTCTTCCTGAAAAAAAAACCATGACACACAAACAAATACTTAAAAAAAATCAATGAAAGGTGCTCTGAATTAAGATGAATCTATTCATAAATTAAAACAAAATACTACTGAATATTAATGTTAGTTCTTCATCTTTTTTTAAAACTAGCATTTTCTAGATCCCATGGTAATGATTTAGGTTACCAGTGTTATAATTCTATGAATTTTTCAATTTAAATTTCATACTTCTGGTTTCAAAATCTTAAAATATTAATTTATTTTCATCTTTTAAAAGAGCTGTATTTTAAAACAACATTCATCAAGTTTGTTTACATAATTCATTTTAAAAAATCACTTTACATTTGGCCAACATTCAATACCTAAACCAATTTTTTACCTCCTTCAGTGAATTTTTTACTGAAGTTGAATTGTCTACATAAAACTTGTGAAATATAAATGGAACTGGTTTTCTCTCGTATTAATTTTTAAACACTTTACCCATTAAAGAAGAGGTTATTTCATAGTTCAATTACTAAATTTCACTGTTTTGCCTTTGTTGAAAGTTATACATGTACTACACTTAAGGTGAATAAATGTGATGAAATGTAAATTTGTATTTACAAAGTTTTTGTCTTATCTAACAATTGTAACTTTGCTCCTGTAATATTGCAACTACTGGATCTTAAGTAGAATAACATATTAATGTTTTGTTGTAACATGATCCTCTTTATTAACTCAGAAAACTTTAAAATAGATATGCTTCTAATACATTGTGTTATATCTTCGAATTTATAAATTTCCTGAAATGATGGACTTCAGTGAGACTATTTATCATAATAAATGACTTGTGTAAAGTAAACCATACAAAAGTTAATAACAACATTTATTTCCATTTCAAAAAAACTGTATAATATATTATTTAAAAAGGCCTTGGGCCTCTCCCACCCCTAGGTCCTCGCATTCCTCTGGGACCAAATGGTGGAGGTCCTTGTCTGGGTCCAAATCCTCTACCCCGCATTCCTTGATCAGGAGGCCCTCTTGGTCTAAATGGTCTTGGTCCACCTGGACCCCCTGGTGGATGTCCTCTTCCGGGACCAGGGAATCCTGGTGGTCCACCATGTGGACCACCTCTAAATGGAGGTCTCTGTGGTGGTCCACCACGTCCCATTAATGGTCTTGGAGGTCTACCACCAAATCCTCTATGGGGTGGTCCTTGTAGCCGCATTCCTTCACCAAAATTACCTGGTCCTGGGGGACCATCAAACCCACCTGAAAATTGATCGTGTACAAACTGATCTCTTTCCATTTTTGGACCTCCAGGACCAAAATTTTTTGGAGGTCTATTCTGGTTATATCCACCTCCTTGTCCATTTGGCCTATGCCCTTGATTAAATTGTTCACTTGGCTTTGGTCTATCTCTATGGTTAGATTGACCCATATCATTAGAATCCTTCTCTTGTTTAACCTGTCCATCTCCCATACCAGATCCTGCATTAGCTTGATAAGCAGCCTCACAAGCTGCAATATGACTTTGAACCTCCTCACTTAATCCAATTTCACCTTGTGAGTTCTCCTCTGTAGGAGTGTCCCATTTGCTTGGCCTTCTCCTTTCTCGTCTAGGCTTATCGCCACCTGGAGATGAAGATTTTCTTTCACTGTCTGGACCATGTGATCCTTGTTGAAAATTTTGTCGATCTTGAACATTTGATGTTGGTGGTTTACTAAATTTATTATCACTACTAAAATTTTGTTGCTGTTGACCAGCAAATCCAAATGATTGTTGGTCTGATTTTGGTGGTTGTTGCATTCTTGGTCCACCAAAGCCACCACTTTGTGGAGGCTTTTGTTGATTGAAAGGTTGACTGCCTTGAAAATTTGGAGGTGGATTAGCCACATTCGGTAATGGATTTCTAAATGCACCTTGGTTAGCAAATCCTGGTTGTTTGCCAAACATTTCAGCTTGTTGCTGTTGCCAGTTTTGACCTTGTCCCTGAAAACCACTACCTGGTTCAGACTTTATAGATTCTGGGGGCGGAGGAGGTGGCTGAGGCTGAAAAAACATTGGGTTTCCTTGACTCTGGGGGGCATTCTTATTTGCAAATTCAAATTGTCCACCTTGTAGTGGACCAACTTGAAATCCTTGACTACCACCCCCATAAGCCATTTGATTCCACTGAGGTTCTTTCTTTATTCGCTTTTGTGACTGTTTTTGTTCATCATCACCTCCACTATATTCCTGTTTTATGAAATCAAGTGCACTAGCACTTGAGTTATTTGTTTCAAACCTTCCTCTTTTTTCAGAAGGTTCCTCATTCCTATCATGTTGAGCATGCCTATGACGATCGCCATAAACATCCTCTGTTCCAAGCTGACGACCTCCTTGTGGGGGTGCTGGAGGTTCAGGCGGTCGATATGCCATTCCTGCTTGACCAAATCTATCTTGTCCTTGTTGCAAAGGTTGTCGGTTGCCTTGTCCTGGCATTTGTTGATAAAATGGTTGACCCTATTAAAATCAAAAGAGTAAAAATAGACAGTGTCAAAACATACAGAAAATAATCAAATTCAAAGTCTGGATTAGATTTGCCTTCCTAAATTTTTTCTGAACAACTGAATATTCTAGTTCTAAAGTAATACACCAAAAATATTGCATTAATTCAATTTACCTAACTATAACCTATTTGCCTTTTTTGCATGCTCAAATCTAACCTCTCTGAGTTCAAATGACAAATTTTCAATGTAGAGGCAACTTTTGTTATTTTCTATATTTTGACTTTGATTACATCATAAATTTGAAATTGTTGCAATGTATTAAATATTTCATGTAACATCAACAGTAATAATTAGAAAGGGAAGACAAAACTGTCTGATATCTACAAATCCAAACGATGAATTGAATAGAAATAAAGTCCAGAAATATTCTGGTTCACCTGTACCATCTTACCTGTAATGCCAGATGTGTACAAACACCGAATTCATTACTACAAATAAGATGCTAAATACAACAAACTGGCTTTTTTTTATCAATTTTTATGCATTTTCATTATCACTATTCTATATGTCTAAGTATCTTGCTTAGTGTTTTACTTTTGAAGAACAATGTTAATCATCATATGCAACGTGTTGTTCATAAAAGATAAATATGACATTGTCTGCATTTGATTTACTATTTTTTTTTTATATTTGTTTTTTTTTATTTGTGTCTTTCATAATTGTCCTGCAATCCTTGTTTGTGCCATTAGAGTTTCAAATATTTTGTACTTAAAAATCAATTTCAGAATGAAAAATCATGTTCAATATTGCATTCAAATAAAAATCAAGATTTGTTTGTTAATCTTACTGGTATTTTTTTTTCTTTGAAAGGTTAATCAATTCATAGTCTCATTTGTCATATTAAAATGAAAACTACATGCATTAAAAGTTGTTCCAACGGCCATATTACACTAAGTTCTGATCATTAAAGTATATACTGTATATTGAAAAGGTTGAGAGGGGTTTCAATATTAATAGATCTGTGGACACATTTTCCACAAAAATGTCACCTGCATCAATATGCATACAAACAATCTTTAATGCTCCATAGACCTGTTTGAAAAAATCTACTTCTTGACAAAAAATAGGCCTTCAATGTTAACTTTATTAAAAAATTTTGGCATAAAGGATATCACATTTTGTTAAATTTAAGAATTTTTTAAAACCACCTTTGTTTTTGTTTTTTTTTAATTTGAGAAAAACTTCTGCCTATTGAAAGTTCTCAAGAAGATAGAACAATAATTTAGTTGTTTACCATTTCTAATTAAATTTCTGTAGAATACACATTTAAACAGATACAACTCTACTCTTCTTTTTATCAACATTACTGTGTTTTCTTTAAACACGCTAACATATCATGAATGAAAAAACAGACAAAAGACAAAATACTTCATTAAAAATGCCAATGATGGTTTTTCATTTGATATATGACATTCCATATTGCAAGGTGGAAATTGTAGCATTTACATTATGCAATTCAACATGCAGTTTCAGTATAAAAATTCATTACATAAAAAATCTTAATTTGTATGATTTTTTGGGTATTAAAATAAAATAAATTGCACTGCATATTTTCTAATCAACCACATATCTTACAAAAAATCTATGCTTCAAGTTATTCATATAATAATGATAATCTCATTTTAACCCTTTACCTAGATATCAAAGCATCTATATAAAATGGAGGCAAATGGGATCAAGATGCATGTATATTGAAGACAAGCTTAATGGGACATTAATAATAACCGAACATTTTAAAGCTCAACTTTTAACTTCAATTATAACAAAACATCTTATTCATCCTGACGACCTGATTCACAGATTTGTGATTATAAAATCAGGAATAGTATATAAGGCAAGCTTAATGGGACATTAATAATAACCGAACATTTTAAAGCTGAACTTTTAATTTCAATTAGAACAAAACATCTTATTCATCCTGACGACCTGATTCACAGATTTGTGATTATAAAATCAGGAATAGTATATAAAGACTCTATTTATCAAAGAAAAACTGATGCAGACTTTTTTTGGTGAAGTTTTAAAAATAAGGAAAAGAACAGAGATAAGGTGTTAAGCAACTATTCTACTTAAACTCCTTCACCTTCATGCAAGTTAATATCTGTTCATTGAGTAAGAATTTCTACTGCAATCTGAAGTAGTCTATATGACATGATAGAAAAAAGATGAAATGGATGATAAATCTGAAGAATAATTACAATAACATTAGATATTGTACCTAATAAAGAATAAAAAGATAATTTGAAGACATCAAAAGTTTCTTCAAAACTGATATGATTGGTGAATATTTCAAGGTCCTTAAAACAAACTCAATAGTTTAAGTATAACTCTAATAGTTTCCTGTACGACATGGATTTTTACCACCAAACCCAGAATTCATGCCTTAAAAACTGTTAAATGAACACAACATTTAACACCACAGTTTACAATAATCTTCAGAACAGCCATTGCACTGACCTATAAAGCAAACTTGGGGAATAAATCCATAACAACTTATTGTGTTCCCTGTTGACAGTAGCTGCAAAACATCGCATCACATAAAAAAAATTTTGTGTCAATAGTATGCAAGATTGGAAAACTTTCATGACATCAATCATCAAGTTGCCATTTTTTTTAAAGTTGCTTAAACTGTAATAATACAGGCACAATCAGAATGTCAAAGTATAAGCTATAAACTGCAAAGTATTATAATTCAAGAAAACCTAAAACTTAACTTGTGTTATTAATTATAAATCCACTTAAAACATGCATGGTGAAAAATTAGTATGTACCAGTAGTTTTAATGAGTGAGATCAGGACCTTAAAAGATGTAGACCTAAACGTTCAGGAAAAATTCAATGAAAATATTTTTTTTTTATAGTGCTTAAAATTAATTTGAATATACTATAAAAAAGGAATTTTGTAGAAATCTGTACTATGACATGCATACGTTTAACTATCTTCTCTATAATAGTAATCCTAAATAATATATGGTATATCTATATGAGTCTAATATTGCATTATTAATTTTTTTATATATTGCTGTATTATGCATTCTTTTTTTATTGTTCAATAATGGTTCAAAACTTTGAATCAATAGAAAAACAAGTAATTTGAATCTTAATTTAACAAACATTTAATTAAGTTTGGCTTTACCATTACAAATCTCTATTCAAGAATGTAGATGTATAATATATTTTGGAATATGCTTATTTGATAAAGGACTTCCCGTTTTGAATTTTCCTTGGAGGTCAATACTTTTGTTGTTTTACTTTTTACTAGTGTAAGTTAAACAGCAATAGGCTATCTCCACTTTTTTATTGTTTACCTCTTAAAAGAATTTATGAGATTTGAACATCAGTAAACTTCTGTTGCCTCTAATTTGTCTATTCATATAGATTAATTATTTTTTTTCTTTGTTAATTTCTCATAGTCATTTAGAGAATCTTCTTTTGAACCACCTTGTCACTATCCTAAAAGCTCAGTAAAAAATGTGAATATTCAGTTCAGCTGTATACAATGTAAATCTTGTATCATGGTTTAATTTTCTTCTATATACATTTCTACTAGGAAAGTAAATGCTGATGTTTCTTCAAAGCATTTCAGTTAATTTTAGTTTTGTTAAAGTATCACCATATAAAGTATTTGCTTATAGACACTTATTACCAGAATCAATTGAAATAAATTCATTTTTCTCCTTTCAGCTAATTGTAAGGATGTAAATGGAAAAAAAAACCAGAGCTAACAGGTAAACTTGGGGAAAACAACATAAATTGGGAATAAAACATAAACTAACTTATTAAATTTCTCCTTAATAATAGCAACATTGAGTATCTGCACAAACTAAAATACTCAACTGGCTTAAACTGAATGCATATTATCAAAACCAAATAAAGCTATATATGCAAATTAAAAAAAGTGAATTATTTTTATAAAATTCAATTATAAATTGTAAATGATTTAAAAGAAAACAATCTAACAGCAGTTATTCTGCATTTTGAGGAAAGACTAATAAGAGAAATTCAAAAAGGAAATATAAAACATTTAATATGCTTAACAGAATTCGAAATGCCTATATCATTTGTCAACAGAAATATAACTGCCTCTACATGAAAGGACTACTGTATAGTTTCTTCATATAACCATTTATCAAAATTTGATAAATAGGACATTAATCAATATAACAGCTGCGTGCAACAAACTAAAAGAGAATTATAGTTCTTTGACTGAAGTATGCAAAAGATGTCTAAAAAAATCCCCCAGTGGTCCACAGCTTCCTTACTTGACAACTGGTTAATTATACATTTATATATGCTTTGTTATGTACTAGACATTACAAAGAAATTCCATTTTCCAGAAAGAATATACAGAAGGTTAGGTTCCTATCACAATCCACATGCATTATTTAATGTTAAGATATAGTAGATTTATCATTCATCACCAATAATGCAGATCTTTTGAATACATAGAATGCCTTAATATCTTCATTTTAAAATGATTTTTCAATCTATTTAGCATTAACTTTCATTCAGTGAGAAAATTAATGGATAACTGCTTCTTGTGAAAAATACTATTCAAAGTACACACCTTGGATTAGTAAGTTGATTAAAGAAATTAAATATCATGCAAAAGAGATCAGAAGTATAAAGCTGAACTTTCCATTCTGGTAAAATAGACGAAATACAACTAAATTTGATTTGGCATACAACTTGAGCATAGGGTTAGATGTTGCTTTGAGATCCAAACTTCTTTGTATAACCAGTCATAAAAGAAATATATGTTAATAGCTTGAGGCAATTTGCAATATATTTCAGTTTCAAGCTTTCTATTGATAGGTGGCCAGTAGCTAAATAGCAATCTGTGAGCATCTGAAGCTGGCTGTTACATTGAAATGAGAAAATATTGAAATTTGTGGTATAGGTAGGACTGACTTCTACAAATTTGGAAGGCATTGCAGTTTTCTAAAACTGTTGG